GGTCCCCAAACTTTTGCTTTAGAAGAAGAGAAGGAAGTCTCACCTTTTAATTTTATCTTCTTGCTTATGTGCATGTTGTTTAAGCAAGAGGTTCTCCTCGTGCAAGCGAAAGTATCGGTCTTCCAGCTCCTCTCGGCTGATTCGCGAAATCCCATGTCGAGCCTTGACATTTAGGACCATTGATGGCTCTGCAACAGAGAGGATGTCTAAGGGACTATATATATATATATTTGGATTACGCATACCAGAAACTTGCTGAATATGGGCCCTACAACCATTTTCTCAGTTGCTGTTGGAACATAAATTGCTTCATGTTTTCTGTGGAGCCCTGGGTGATTGGAAGATGACTAGAGTGTACCTGGCAAATGACAGTCATTAAAAGATTTGGGGCATGAGGTCATCAGTATAGTGACAACACACAGCTCTATTCCTCAGTTTAAGGAGGAGTCAAGAATGACACTGCGTGACCTGAATGCAGTAATGGACTAGATGAGGGTCAATATACTTGATGAATCCTTTTAAATTGGAGGCACTGTGGGCAAGGGACGCAGGCAATTTCCCTGTTCTGGATGGGGCTGGGCTCTCTCTGAAGGAACAAGTTATGTAGCATGGTGATGCTCCTTGATCTATCGCTGGCACTAGGGGATCAGGTCACCTCAGCGGCAAGGGGCACCTATGATCATCTTTGGCTGGTATGCCAGCTATAACTGTTCCTGGACAGGGATGACTTGGCCACAATGAACCATGCATGCATTGGTAACCACAGAGACAAGACTATTGTAATGCACTCTATGTGGGGATGCATTGAAGGCTGGTCCTGAAACTGGAGCAAGACCTGTTCACTGTGCCACAGCCTTCTGAAGTCCATCACATGGCTATGCATCAACAGGCCTATTCTGTGATAGCACCTATTCTACAGAACAGTCTCTATTACCAGTTTTGATTGTTGTGAATGCCCTTAATAACAAATGAACACAAAATGGTATAAAATGATTGCTCTTTATAGTATATTCGCACTAGACTGTCGCCATAATATTTAGCGAGGTTCTAAAGGTAGGGACTGAAGGACATCAGCCAAAATTAGTGAGAGAGTCTGCCAGTTCCCTGGTCCACTTTACTTGCCTTGCTGACCTGTTGCTGGCTGCTCTTTACCCAGTGGGGGTTAAGAACTCTGTACGTTCAGGGGAACTTCTTTTGAATGCAGGGAGCCATTCCCAATTCAGTCACCAGTGTAGAGCAAATCCAGGCAGACCTGGTGGTGGTGGTGGTTGGCAAGTAGAACCCCAGGGAGTGGAAAGGGCCCAGATAGTTGTTACTACTACTACTACTAATGCTGTGAATACATGTGTTCCAGACTCTATTGCCTGGCTTCCACAACCTGAAGATGTTTTGTATTACAACTAGCAGCCCCAGGCATGGAAGCCCTAGGTATGCTCTCCAGGAGTGCTCAGTCCAGACCCTCTTTTCAGTTTCCTTGACCCTCTGGATAAATTTTCCCTTTCAAAGGAACCAGCTGATTAAAACGTGTAAGAAGTGGAACAAACCTTGCTGCCCTATGAGATTTAGACCTATGTCTCTCACCGGTAGATCCTCTGATGTTTCGTCAGCTGCAGCAGACATGACTGAGCTGTGGATGACAAAACCCAAAGAAATATTCTCTCTGTAACGTAAAATTGCACAAGCACCACACACTGTAAATTACGTGAGATTATGGTAAATGAGAGTGAAAAGTAATGACAGATTCTGGAAGAACTCTTTTACGTCGTCTTCACCACACAGAAACCATAACACCAGGGGCATCATAAAGTTCTATTTTAAAAGTTGTTTGGCGTATAATCATATTCATTCATATAGTTTAATTTTTTTTAATGTAGATTTTGCAGCTCTTAATTCCAGATACACATGCCCATGTAGAGTGTAATTGATTTTGTAAAAAAAAAAAAAAGTCAACAGGGCTACATGAATCAAAGGGCTTGTAGTTTCAGCACACAAAACAAGCCAATATTGTGCTTCAATGACCTTGGACCTAATTTGCTGGTTATACACGCATGAGAGTGCTATGGTGCCCATGTCCTCCAGATAGGCTTCCCATGGGCATTTGGCTAGCCACTGTGAGAAAAGAATGCTGGAGCAGGCAGGTCTTTGGTCTGATCCAGCAGGGCTTTTCTTAGACATACAGTACTGCACAATGCAGAATAGGTTCCAGAAAGCCACAATTTAAATAGATCAAGGGTGAGATTCTAGAGTCGTCTACTTGAAAGTCTGCCCCACTGATTGGAGGACTAGCTTCTGAGAAAACACATACTGGATTACACGGCAACCTTCATACAATTAATTGTGGCTGCAAACCTACTTGGGTTTAAGTCCCACTGAAATCAATTAGATTTACTTCTGAGCAAACATGCACAGATTCACATGGCATAATTTTTGTCAGTCGGGTGACCCTAATTTTATATAACATAAGGATAGTATTGTATAAGTACTCTCTGCTGGATACCTCTGGTGTCAGAGGCAGGTGGCAATTTGCAAACAGGGAGAGGGCATTTTCAACTTTACTGCCCTATCTCCTTTGCAGTAAGCTCACCTGGTATCTACCTTGCAATTTTTTAAGTGCCAGGCAAACACTTTACACCGTATTCTGTTGCTTTAATTAAACTGCTGTTTATTCACATTGCTTGCTTTAGGCTTCACACCCACATATGTTTATCTGAAACATTTCTATACTACCTGGAGCCTATTTAGGTTTTCGTACCGCCAATTTTAGCACAGTAAAAATACAATAATAAAACAAGAGACACAAAGCTTTAAAACAACTAAAATCACAGTTTAAATACCTGAGTGAGATATTTTAGCTGTTTGTGTGACAACAAGGAGAGTTTAAAAAAATACAGCATGGGATCAGGATATATATCTTGGAACATGTCAGATAATAAGAAAAATGCTGTAGCTGAGTAGCAGAGCATTTGCCTGGTATGTAAAAGGTAAAGGTAAAGGGACCCCTGACCGTTAGGTCCAGTTGTGGCCGACTCTGGGGTTGCGGCGCTCATCTCGCTTTACTGGCCGAAGGTCAGCTTCCGGGTCATGTGGCCAGCATGACTAAGCCACTTCTGGCAAACCAGAGCAGTGCACGGAAATGCCGTTTACCTTCTCACCGGAACGGTACCTATTTGTCTACTTGCACTTTGACGTGCTTTCGAACTGCTAGGTTGGCAGGAGCAGGGATCGAGCAACAGGAGCTCACCCCGTCATGGGGATTTGAACCACTGACCTTCTGATCGGCTAGTCCTAGGCTCTGTGGTTTAACCCACAGCGCCACCCGCGTCCCTTGCCTGGTATGTAGAAGGTCCTAAATTCAATCCCTTGAATCGCCAGATATTTATTTTATTTACTATTTATTTATTGCATTTATATCCCACCTTTCTCTCCAAAGACTTCAAGGTGGCGTACATGGTTCCCCACCTCCTCATTTAATTCCCATGACAACCCTCTGAGGCAAGTTAGGCCGAGAGATTGTGACCAGCCCAAGGTCACCCCGTGAGCTTCACGGGGTCTCCCAGGTCCTAGTCTTACACTCTTACCACTACACCACATTGATAATAAGAGAACCTTGCCTGAAACCCTCTGGAACTGCTGCCAGTCAGTGTAGATAATACTGAGCTAGATGGACCAATGGTCTATATTCCTATGAAAGTTCTGAACACTCACTTGTGCCTGTTTTTTTGGGGAAAAAGGTTTTGTTCTCTTGATTATTTTTGCTCTAATTATGAACTATATGGTGGTAGTGGTCTGGATGTTTATTTTTACTGATGCCTGTTCACTAGAGAAACCCCCCCCCACTATTTCACTTTAAGAAACATGCCCGAGTTTGCTCATTTCCTCCTCCCTCCTCACATTTTTTCCTTTTGTATCATTTATTTCATTTTGTTGAACAAAAGTTATATACTGCTTAGCTGTAAGAAACGCCTAAGCGCTTTACAGAGCTAGACAATAAAACTTTTTAACCGTCTTGTTTTAAATGATTATACTGTATGCAAGTCATTCTGGGAGTCTTTTTTTTTTTTTTTGCTGAAGAGTAGGGTAAAAGAAGCTAAATAAATAAAAGTTAGCTTTCAGTTCTTTTATTCTCATTCCTTACAGTGTTGCATTTTAATCGTATGCTACCTTGGGAGGATTCCCCTTCTTTAAAAGCATTGTAACATTGTTACATTAAATAGTAACAATGAGCAACAAATACATCCTTCCCTTTTACTGGTAACATTTTATTTTCTTAACTTACAATATACAACATTAGAATGGCTTGACGGTGGGGATGTGGAGGGTAACAAACAATTCAACAACTTTTCAAATGAGTTAAATAAGAAGCCATTTACACACACTAATTTATTTCGATTTTAAGATGTGCAGTATCTAATTAAAACATCAAAAGCAAAAACATCATTAAAATGCAAGCCAATTCCTTTTTTAAAAAAAATAAAAAGAGGTACCGGTTATCAAATCACCCTATGCAAAAACAAACACCATATCAAATCCCAGCCTAAATATGCATACATTTACATACATTGCAGTTTAAATTTGCATAAAAATCTCCCCTTGCCACCTCAGAGCCAAACCCCCTACAAAACCACCCATTTCCTAGACATACTTCCCCTCCCCCGGAGGCCCCAATCCAGCAACTCACAGCTGCCCAGTCCTCCTCCTCCTCCGGTCCGCCTCCGCCCTCTCCGCATCCCTCGTTAGCAACCGCCTCCGTTGCTATCCCTCCAGAGTCACTTCCGTTCTCGTTCAAGGAAAGGCGGGGAAAGAAAGAAAAGGGGCGGGCTTCCGTGCGGACTCCTTTTCCCGCGCACCCCCCGCAGAGCCTGCCGGGAGTCGTAGTTCTAAGGAGGAGAATTCCCTTGCCAACCTGAAGCAGCTGAGAACTACTGAAGGCGTGCACTTCCTAAATATTCCCCTTCCCCGCCCAGCTTACCGCTAGCGGAAGTTCCAGCGTGCATTGTGGGAGTTGTGGTTCCTCCTGCCAAGCCCAGCCGGCTATGCTATTTTTTTTGTCCGGAAGGAAGGAGGCTTTTCTTCGCAAGGGCGGGCCTTTTGCATGCGAGGCAAAGTGCGCAGCCCGGGCAGGAGAGCGGCATGAAGCGGAAAGGAGCAGGGGAAAGAGAGAAGGATGTCAAGGTAATTCACAGCTAGCTCTGTGCAGGTGGAAATACTTAACATTGGACAATTGCATCCCCTCTTATCTCACAGCCAAGAGCTGTTTATCTGCTCATTGCATTTGCATTTGTACATTTATATCCCACACTTTCCCTCCAAGGAGATCGAGGCAGTGCACATGGTTCTCTTCTCCTCCATCCACCCCTTTTATCTTCACAACAACCCTGTGAGGTAGGTTAGGCTCAAAGTGGCCCGAGGTTAACTGGTGAGTGGCGACTTGAACCCCAGTCTCCTAGATACTAGTCTGACAGCCTGACCACCACGCCACACCGGTTCCGAGTTGCTCCCCACTGTAATGTACATCGCACAACGGTACAAGCTTCTGCATAGTTCATTTAGAAAGAAGGCCCACAGATTTTAATACATGCTTATTTTTAAGTAAGCCCCACTTGTTCTCAGGTAAGTGTGCAATGGACCACTTACCTTACTCTTCGATCAGCATGTATGTACTGACTTCAATGGGGCTTAACTTTGGGTTCAGGATTGCAACTTTGTAGCCTGATCTTTTAAAAAAATAAAAAATGTAATTAGTTTTCCAATATTTACCCAATATTACCCCAATTATCGGGACGCAGGTGGCGCTGTGGGTTAAAGCCTCAGCACCTAGGACTTGCCGATCGAAAGGTCGGCGGTTCGAATCCCTGCGGCGGGGTGCGCTCCTGTCGTTCGGTCCCAGCGCCTGCCAACCTAGCAGTTCGAAAGCACCCCCGGGTGCAAGTAGATAAATAGGGACCGCTTACTAGCGGGAAGGTAAACGGTGTTTCCGTGTGCGGCTCTGGCTCGCCAGAGCAGCGATGTCACGCTGGCCACGTGACCCGGAAGTGTCTCCGGACAGCACTGGCTCCCGGCCTATAGAGTGAGATGAGCGCACAACCCTAGAGTCTGGCAAGACTGGCCCGTACGGGCAGGGGTACCTTTACCTTTACCTTACCCCAATTATACAAATACCAATTAATATCATATTAATTCAAGATTTATACAATTTATTTAGAGTGGTTTCCCACACTCCATGATCATCCAGTTCTTATATTACTGCGATTCATACAGTATTATTAACTTCAAATTACATTTCAATTGATGTATTAATCTTTTAAATAACAACTGCATTAGTGATTTCTATTCATGTTGTTATATTATTTAACTTTTCATAGGATTTCAAATGGGAGCTCTAATTATTATTATTTTTCACAGCATGTGTCAGTCTAAATATGTTCAGTTATGGATTCCTTGGCCTTTATCTGCTGTCCCATCCTTGAAATTCTTCCACTGTTGCTGCTGTGTATTCCCAGCTGGGGTGGAGCTGTATTCCCAGAGATTCTCGAAAGATGTAGCCTGGTTTTATGTATATTTACTTGGAAATAAGTCTCAAAACTATTGGCACGATTATTTATTATACTTTTGTTTCATCCTTTGTCCTAAAAGGAGCCCAGGGGAGTATGCAACAAAGTACAGTTGCAATAATCAAAACAAATTAAGCATAATATCATAATAAAATATTGCTAAAACAAATAAATACAGTTGGTTTAGATAAACATGCATAGTCTTGCAACCTTGTTGCAACAAATCCTTTGTATTTGTTTGGCTCTTATATTTATATTCTGCTCTTTGTCCATGGTACCTAGGATGTTATACATGATTCTTGCTCTGCCCCCCTGTGCTTTTATCTTTGCAATAACTTTTTGGGGTAGGCTAGGGAGTGAGGTAGTTACTGGCCCAGGATCACTGGGTGAGCTTCATGGCCAAATGGGAATCTGAACTTGAGTTTGCCAACTCCTAGTCAGACACTCAAACCATGATTTTACTCTGCTGTTTACTTGGAAATGTCCCACTGATTTAATTGGAATTCATTCCCTATAATAATTCACTTGATTGCAGCCTTACAGGCTCGAAGAGTCCCAGCTTTGACTGATGTCCCAGCTGCAACGCTATCTGGACAGGGGTAGCCTAACTTCTGTTGCCTATGCTCTGCTAAACTCGAGGTTAGATTACCACAAAACATTCTATGTGGTGCTGCCTCTGAAGACTGTTTGGAAACTTCAGCTGGTGCAGAATTCAGCGGTCAGGTTGCTTACTGGGGCAAGATGGTTTCAGTCTGTGGTGTAATACCTTTGATGGCCCTTACACACACATGTAGTATCTCTTACAACCTTCAGCCAGCAGCCAAAGACTTTTTCTGTTTAGACATGCTAGATAGCTCAGTTGGTACAGCATGAGACTCTTAGTCTCACGGTTATAGGTTCGAGCCCCACATAGAGCAAAAAGATTCCTGCATTGCAGGGGGTTGGACTAGATGACCCTTGTGGTCATTTCCAACTCTACAACTCTATGATTCTATGCCTCAGAATAGTTTGATGACACAGCACACACTTTGCATGCAGAAAGTTCCAAACTCCATCTAAGCATCTCCAGTTAAAAAAACAAACCAAATGAGGAAAAATCTCTGCCTGAGACCCAGAAATAGGTCAGCCTTCTTCTCCAGATGCTGTTGGACTCCAACTCCCATCAGCCCCAGTCAATATGGCCACTAGACATGGTTGATGGGAGTTGTAGTCCAACATCTGCAGGGCACCATGTTGGGGAAGGCTGGAGTAGACAGCCCTCAACTAGGAGAGCAGACAGCTTCACTTCGCCTTATGTAACCTCCCCAATCTTCCTTGGGACTCCCTTTCTTCCCTATCTTTCTGAGCATAAATTTCTCCTGCATTACAATTTTTCGTCCAGGGAAGTATTTTGCAGAGATGCTCTTGTCAATGAAAATTTTCCGGTGGGAAGGGCCCCGATGGGGCATTATTGGCCTCCAAATGCTATTAATGTGACAGCTTATTGAGAAATGGTGTGTGTTTGATGTAATGCATTACCTATACGTTGGAAGCGGTGCACAGATTCGGGGAGGGGTGCGTGTGAAACATAAGATGGAGAGCGTGGCAAATGTTCTCTGCTTTAAAATTCATCACACCGACGCCGGTTCAAATTGCCCCAGCTGTTAACGCAGGGACCATTACAGTAATGGCCTCTGCAAATGAAGGAGAACCAACACACACACACTTTATTACCAGCGGGGTAATTTTCTCTTCATCTGTAATAGCAGCAGAGCCACGTATTGATCAGCCCATCAAGATACTAATCCTCTGTAAAATTACTTGTTATAACTGAAAATGTGTTAATCCAAATCAGCCTGTGTCCTGACTTTCTACTTGCTATTGAATACAGGCCATTAGATCGTTTATTTTTCATGATTTAAAGCCTTTAAACATTGATAACAGTTGGATCTTCTTTTGCGAGAATGGACACTTAATCTTCACTTATAGCCCAAGGATGTCTTCTGGTTTTAAACAGAACATCACCCACTTAATTAAAGAGCAGTGTCTGTCTTGGCAGTCCTGAATTATGCTGGTGCTTTAGGTTGCTTCAGATTTATGAAGAGGCTAAATATAAAACTGGATGTAAACCTGTGTGTCTATGTGTTTGTGTGCTGTAAGTAAGGCCAGGATGCATCTTGCCCAGGTTTAAACACCTGTGGGTGCAAGGGTTATCTGGAAGTTCTGAGGATGTAAGGTACTTAAAATAAATATATATATTACATGTTTGCCTCACATTTTATTGAATTGTGTCTTGCAAGGATAATGTTTCTTAGACTAATGCATGAAAATCTACATTAGAGTTAGTATTGCAGTGCAGTATAAGAGCATGAGCCCTGCTGGATAATCTAGTCTAGCATCGCCTACGTTAGCCAGCTAGATGCCTCTGGGAAGTCTGCAAGCAAGACAGGATGGCAAAAGCCTTCTCCTGCTATTGGTTTTCCCGCTGGAAAAGTCACTGAAATAACACATGAACACAGAGTCCAAAGAGAAAAGCCCTGATAACACCTTACTGAGCAAACCGAACAAAAACATGGTGTAAACTGAGGAAGAAGGAACAGAAATGTTTTGTCTTTCTTAGTTCAGACCCTGTGCAGGACAGGGAGACATACAACTACATTAACACAGGAAAGCTGCCTTGGAACTACACAGCCAATCAGAGTACGAGTTACCTCCGCAAGAATCATCCTGCTATGGTTGCTAGGCAACACCTTCACCCATCCCCCTCTTGGACTTGCTGACCACAGAATTAACCCTTAAGGCACACATGGAATGATCTCTGTTGCTGCCCTTCCAACAGTCCCCTCAAATTGAATTCAGTGTGGCATGTTTCCTCCACATCTGGAGGAAGCCTATAGCTATTACTGCTCGTGTCATCCATATTGTTAGACACCCTCCATGAATTGGCTTAATGCCTACTAAAGGCCTCTAAGAAAGTGGCATAATCATGTCTCATGGCAGAGAACTGAATATATTAATTATTAATTATATTGTGAAGAAGTAAGTTTGTATTGTTCAACCTGTTTAATTTTATTTTCCATTCCTTAAAGCAGGGAGGCAGGCTGAATCTTCTTTCAGCCTGAGGGCCACATTGGACAGCCTTCCTGTGACGACATTGGATGGCCCCAAATTCTAGTACTATGAGAGAGGGAGGCAAAACTTCTCCGTATCCACTTTCGCCACACCATGTGTAATGTTATGCACCTCTATCATGTTTTTCCCCTTACTCACCTTTTCCTTAACTAAAAAGCCCCCACAGAAAAGCCATGGGTGCTCTACCAAAAAGAGTCTTCCTCTTTGCCTCTTCTGTTCACTTCAGGGCACTCAGAGCAAAGTCTCCGACGAGGATCTTAATTGCCGTATTGTTCGCTCCATAAGGCGCACCTAGTTTTTAGAGGAGGAAAACAAGGAAAAAAAATATTCTGAACGAAACAGTGGATGTATGATTTTTGTGGTTCATGCTGTGGCCACAGACATGTGATTTGACGGTGAGTTTGGGGTAGGCCAATGCAAAAATCCTGAGAATCCATGTGGATCCATGCTTTGTAACCACATTTTTGCGCCATTGTGGCCCAGGCAACAGTGGGTGCGTGATTTTTTGGG